AAAAAAAAAAAAAAAAAAAAAAAAAAAAAAAAACTTCTGTTGTTCCTTAATTCTTTTTGCAATTCTTCTTGCGTTTTTTGGTTGCAACATTCAAATCGATTGCTCCAAAGTCAAACAGTTTTTCACCGGATGTTTTTTCCACATTATATCGGTCAATGATTTCGCATTTCTGTAATTAAATAACAAAAAAAAAAATAGCAGTAATCGGTTCTTTTTTCTTCTTTTTTCAAGTTTATCTTTGCAATACTTAACATTCCAACTCTGATAACTACAATTTCAGTTATTCTGATTAGCAGCAGAAATGTTAATTACATTCATTTTTTTGTGTTTGCTTTTTACTTTTCAAATTTTTAAAATTTAAACAACAGAAATTACTGTCTAAGTTTTTTACGTTTTTTTTTTTTCCTGCTCAATCAGTTCTCTTTTTGGCACTAATACCGTTGAATTTAGGTAATAAAATAATGATAAATTATCAAAAAACTGAATACTGATCAGTAGAAAAAACTGGAAAAATTTTCAAAAAATTTTATGTAGTTTAATCGTCAGTATATTGCTATTAGCTGCAAAACGAAACTGATCAATTTGAACCAAAATTTCTTATATCAGTATTATCATTTATCAGTTAAAGTGTAAAAACAGTAAGAATAATAGATTATTTTTTTTGTATTTAGCTGCAGTCTAACTAGATTATTGAAAAAAAAAACCAAGAATTTCTTTAAATAAACAAACTAATCAGTAAAAAAGTTGAAAAGTTAAGGTCAAGATTTAAAAAAAAAATTGGCTTGTAAACTAACTGAATTCTCTTTTCCATTTTCGCAGTTATGATAGATCAAAAGATACGGTTCAATATTACGAATTTCTCGTGCCTGTCCATATACTCGGAATCGGCCAAGTCCATCCGTGAATGTTGTGTTTAGTTTATCGTCAAAATTTACTAAAAATTTTTGCCTTATTTTTATTTTACCGCTAATTTATAACTGCACTAAATTTTTTTTGTAAAAATCAACGAAATTAAGAAACATTTGTTCAGATACAACAACAATTCTTTCCCTTATAGCTTAACGCTTATTACTGTTACTGCTGTTTTTTATCCTACAAGATAAGTTTTTATTTTGTCAAACTATTACGAATAGTTGAAGCTTGAATTCTTTCAGCTTTTCTTTTTTTTTGTTTGTTAGAACAATAAAATAGAGTGTGAAAAAAAAAGCGAACATTTTATAATCGCTTACATGTATCATCTTCCCAGAGTTCCACTTTGGTGTTTCGTGATGTCAACCTATCGCAGTTAAGACGTCCGGTAACGGTGATTTTTTTCATCCTACCCAACAAGCCAAAAACGCTTGTGGTTACCAGCAAAAGAACCACAACAGTTCGAAGAAACATTGGTTCTGAAAATCAGCTTAAAGTTTTTTTATAGAAAACAACAGCATTGGCTCCATAACAGATCGTTCACAGTAACAGTAGCTTTTTCATCAAAATTTAAGTATCACTGAACGTTTGCAAAGTAAAAAAAAAAAAACAATTCGATATTACCAAAGCAAAATATATCGTTGAATCTGCAACAGCAACAACTAAAATAAATGTACAAAATTATAAACAGTATATTACTGTCAGTAAACGAGTTATTATATACGACCAATAATTGTATTTAACAGCCTCGAATTCATTTCTGATACCTCAAAATCAGATTGATACTGTCAGTGAATTATTTTATATAAAATTTTCTCATCAGTTCCGCCTGTTCGTCTTCCATTTAGAAATATCCTCGTTTTCTTTTCCCCAATAATTATTTCAATTCTATTCTGTAGCAGCATATTTCATCGAACAGTAAAACAGCATTTATTTATTTTATATTTAAATTTTCATAAGCCTTTAAAATAAGAAGTAAACTAAACAGCGATAAAAATCTTAACTAACAAATAACAACAACAAAAGGAGAAATTATAAAGCTAAAATGAAGTAATATGAAGAGGAAAATTGAACACACACACACA